TCCTAAAAGCTGTATCTACATGCGAGAAAAGAAAAAAAAAACGAAGTGCCACCTATGAAATGAAAGTGTCCCTCTTATCCAGTGGCGTATCTAGGATTTCTTCCAGGGGGGGGGGTCCCATGTCAAAAGGGCCCTTGACTGACTGGATTGAAAGGGCCCTAAGTCAGGTCAGGTCAATGACCCAAAAGTCGGGAAAATCGGGACCTGTTAGAAAGTCGTAAGCTGTGGCTGTACAAGGGGTTTTCGGGGTGCTGATCACGAATATCGTGCAAGTTTTGATCACAGATGATGTCTTTAAGCATTTGGACCAGGTCGGGTCAGGTCAGGTCAGGTCAGGTCAGGTCAACCAGTAGGGGTCGTGACCGGTATTCGTAGTACGTGTCAACCGCCTCTGACAGCTTCGTAACATGCTACGAAGGCACCAAAATTACTTCGTAAATGTTCAAACAGTTTCTAAATTCGAATTCAGCTGAAAAAAAAACTAGCCTAGAAACATGTAAAGCACGAAAAAGTGAGCCGAGGTCACCAAAGGTCAATGACCTGACCTGACCTTCAGGTGACCTTGACATCCACCCAAATGCATGGGAGCAACATCAAATCACATGTTTGAACGTTTGAAACCACGAGAAGCTTGCAAACGCGCGGCTAATGCGAGCCGACATACGCCGAATGGCGATTCCGGCCAAACATGGCCTCGAGAAATAGGTCACAGGTCAAAGGTCACTTGGGTCAGGGTCATGAAATTTTCAGAGTAGGTGTAAAATTGATCAACTCGAGGTTACTGAAGGTTTCGTCGCGATCGGCCGCTTTTTGCGCGAGTTATTCGCGAATAACCATGGGGTCCATCCGACCCCCCCCCCTACACATGCGAGAAACACGACGTTGTGTATTGGTCATATAGTTAGGAAGAGCTCGAAGATACAATTACCTACTACTCATCTGTACAATAAAAAGAGCATAGCCACTCGAGGTGAAGGTTGCCGGATAGTACCTAGTTGTCCTCCTTCTGTTGCATTCCTCTCTCGCACCCATCGTGTTGAACCGACCACGGCGCAAGACTCGGGTCTCAGGAGCACGGGCTCCTGTCTAGTAGGTGTCTCCATTGCTCGTTGATGCGCACCGTTTGCCAGAAGTTTACCCGTTCTCCAAACAATCTCTCCCCCAGCGCCGGCTGCGAGTTGAGTCTTATGTGACGCTGATACTTTTCGTTGAAGATGGGCCAGTCTGGCGTTGGCAGCACATCCGAGCTGGGCCGACCCGTGCGCGCAAAGTTGGTCCACAGGTTGACCATAAAGCGGACCATGAAGTAGGCCGAAGTGCCGGGCTGCTCTCGGTCCCGGTTGGCTCTAGTGAACAGGTAGAGAGTATCCGCACCATGGCTGACGCCCAGCTCTGTGACTGGGTACGGCAGGTTGTCAGGCTTCGGAGGGTTGTCGCCAAGCGTCAGCCGTCCGGGACCCATGTGGTCCAGCACGTACTTGTACACAGGAGCATGCGCCGAGGCCAGGCGAATCTCTTCTGATATCTCGTTTACGAAGAGTCGATCGGATAGGATATCAGCAAGGGCCTTTATCGTAACTCTGCCGCTTCCGACAAAGAAGTTAATGACCTTGATTGTTTCCTCGATTGGATCAGCTCCACAATCTAGGATCCTGAATCGGGACTCGCCGATCAATTCGAGAAAGCTACTCCAAACGGCCAGATTTTTGTCAATGATTTCATTAACGAAATCTTCGGTCGGGAGACGGCGTGGAAGAAACGAAGCGCCCTCCAGACTAGTCATGCCGGAAATCCAAGGAACTAAGTTGAAGTTACCTGTGGCCAACAGCACCCTGGCATCATCAGGTAAGAATGGGAGGTTCCTCTCTCTATCGGTACGGGGGCGAAAGCCGATGTTGTCATTTTCTCCGATGGCTTCCCATGCGTCCTGAAGAACCTGAGTTGGAGTCCGTTTGACACAGTCCACCAGTGCGTCACTCCTGGATTGAAGACATCCCAACTGCGTGGCCAACTTGACGGCCAGTCCTCTTCGCTTGCCACTGGCGGCAAATGTGGAAAACGATACACCAGACTGACTGATGGCGTGTTGAAACAATCCCTTTCCAAGGGGACTGAGCACCAGGAGCGAGACACTCGACCCGCCTGCTGACTGGCCGAATATGGTGACCAGTTTGGGATCGCCACCGAACGCGGCGATGTTGTCCTGCACCCACTGCAGCAGCAGCACCTGGTCCAGCATGCCGTAGTTGCCAGGAGCTGCCGCGTCATGTGTTGTGAAGAATCCGAACGGTCCGAGCCTGTAGTTGAACGTCACCAGGACCACCGGCTCGTCCATGAAGTAGTGCGGACCATAAATGTCACTGTCGCCAGAGCCGAAGAAGAATCCGCCTCCGTGAATAGAGACCATCACCGGAAGCCCGGTCAGTGTGTTCTCCCGTCCCGGCAGCTGGCGGGTGTAAACATTCACGAACAGGCAGTCCTCGACACCAAGGCGGGTGTTGTTGTTGAACGCCTGAAACTGGGCACAGTTGTTGCCATGTTCTAAAGCGTCGACGATGCCCCTCCAGCCTGGGTGGCGAAGTGGCGGCTCGAAGCGCAGAGGGCCCACAGGTGGCTGTGCGTACCGGATTCCCTTGAAGCTGAAGAAGAGACTTCCGTCAGCGCTCCTGTCGGTCGCACCGCTCACCGTCCCCTCCAGAGTGGTCACCAGCGGCCGATAGGGCGGGCTCAGGTAGGCAGCGGCCGCAGCCGCCAGGAACAGTGTCAGCAGCGCGGCCGCCATCCTGCGACTGATCTTTGGCGGGGGCGGGCGGCCGTCTGCATCCTGCTCGACACAGGCAACAACCGGTTTCACGAGTATCAGCGGCGTTTTTTTCAGTTCTTATCCATGACCCTGAGAAAAGGCAGTTGCTGACATTCTTACATCTGCGTTACTGGAGAAAGTCGTCCCGAATAGCTCACCTTCTGTGTGGGGAAGAGGACGGGCCTGGGAATAGGGATAGGGTCTTAGGCAGTTGGTCCGGCGGAGCTGCGTGGTAAGGTGAGGCCATTATATGCAGCATATCAGTAACCTATGGGGGTTATCAGTCACATTAACCCTCGCCGGACCTATTGGTTTTCTACATACGCGCCGGCCGAGGGGGGGGAGCGGGTACGACCCCCCCCCTCGCCGTTTCGCCCCTGGTGGAGCTAGCGCGTCGCGGAAAAAAACGAGCGTGTGTGCCGTTACAAGACGCAGAGATTGGTACCCGATTTTAAGGTCCTAGGTCAACCGGCGACCTCTGAGGTCAGGTCAAGTGCCCCAAGGTACGGTTCAGTTTTTGGTGAATAACTTCGCAAAAAACGGCCGCAGAGTGCCGATTTTGGCAGCATCGTGTTCGCCTCGCTCAGGCGCGTCGAATGATATACTTTTTGTCCGGGTCAGGTCAACTTGGGGTGTTGACCTCAGGTCAAGGTCAGGTCAGCACCCCCAGGTCACGAAGTTGGTCGAAAGAGGTCATGTCGCATATCATTCGATTCGGCAGGCCTTTCTGAGTCCATTGGTGGCTTTCCCGACTCGCTAGCTCAATTTGATCAAGACTTATTGACGAAAAACTAATATGACCTTGATGACGTCATAAATGACGTCACGAAAGGTCAACATTGCAAAAGTGACGCATCTAACCTTGCAAGGAGTGCATCAAATCACGATTCTGTGTGCTTGAGATAGTTGGAGATCGTTCCCGGCGCCAGAATAGCAGTTTTCATTTTTCCCCATTGACTTATAATGGTGAGGTCACGAAAATGACCTGACCTCATATGACCTTTAGGAAAAATCCGAGATATACAAGTTGTGGGACTCATAATGGATACTAGATCCTGCAAGTTTCATTTCCCTGTGACATCTCCCCTGGCAGTGAGGGCGTTGCGAAGTTGCGACATCTGAAGATCGTGCAGAGGTTCACTTATGACGTCATAGGTCAGTGACCTGACCTGACCCAAAAATGCGGTTGGTGTCAAAAGATCCGGCTTGGATCAAAGGTCAGGTATGCCAAGTTTCAGCTCTCTATCGCCAGCGTGTTCGGAGCTATCGCGAAAAAACCCTATGGGGGCGGCACCCGCCCCCCCCCCCCTCGGCCGGCGAGGGTTAAGAGTACCTACCTACCTATGTTCCCTTTCCAACTTTCTCTCAGTTTATTGCGCCTTTGCACTCTCCGCCTACTGTTGTCGGGAAAATTGTCAGCCTTCCATAAATACGCACCACGTGTTCAGGCCGATCTCCGACAACAGTTAGACAACACTCGAGCTCAAGTTTTAGACAACAGCCCAAATGTTTTCACTCATCATGGGCCTTTTCAAGCCTGTGTCCGCATTATTTCAGATTGTAATGTGATGCGTACTTCATTGATGTTCATAGTTCGTCATTATTTCAACTATGAAGCTGATGTAGGCATTCAATGCATCACAAATAACCGTTCGACTGTTGATATTGATAAGGATACCAATGGCGGTGATTTATATGCCGTTTTGAACGCAATAGAAGGGGTTGTCGAATTTTACCTTCGTAGATTGCAGGGCGCCACGAAGACTCAGCTGAAATAACGATGATTGACTTGGACAGTGGGCACCTGAAATGTAGACTGTGGAGATCACCGGCGGTCTCATCTAACTCCGGAGTCATTGTTAGTGAAATTTAAGGAAAATCAAACTGGAAAAAGAAAACATTTACATGCACGAGATTAACCTTGCAAACGGCTGGTGTCGTGACAAATGGCCGTGGAGCCTAGGGCGTTCCCACAGACAGGCAGCGCAGTGATATAAAGGGATGGAGGGCCCTGGACAGCAATGACTGCGAGCACAAGAAACTTGGAGGAATGAGATAACAAGCATATAAATTATCCTCGCGGCACGATATTGCCATAAAACAGCTGAAACATTTGTCGTGTTTAAAAGTCCAAGAAACCTGTTGTTGCTGGGGTAGAGCGGAGCTGACAGCGCCGCTCGTCCCAGCCAACGGCCAGTTACAGGATGGCGGCCACGCTATTGACACTGTTGTTGGCGGCTTCGGCCTCTGCGCAGCTGAGCCCGCCCTATCGGCCGCTGGTGACCACTCTAGAGGGGACGGTGAGCGGTGTGACCGACAGGAGCGCCGACGGAAGTCTCTTCTTCAGCTTCAAGGGAATCCGGTATGCACAGCCGCCCGTGGGCCCTCTGCGTTTCGAGCCGCCACTTCGCCACCCAGGCTGGCGGGGCATAGTAGGCGCTTTAGAACATGGCAACAAGTGCTCTCAATTCCAGGCATCTAACAGCAGCAGCAGGAGCAGCAGCAGCAACAACAACCTCAACAACAACAACAACATCACCCGCATCGGTGACGAGGACTGTCTATTCGTGAACGTTTACACCCGCCAGCTGCCGGGACAGGACAGCTCGCTGACCGGACTGCCGGTGATGGTCTACATTCACGGAGGCGGATTCTACGTTGGATCTGGCGATAGCGACGACTATGGACCGCACTACTTCATGGACGAGCCGGTGGTGCTTGTGACGTTCAACTACAGGCTCGGACCGTTCGGATTCTTCACGACACATGACGCGGCAGCTCCTGGAAACTACGGCCTGCTGGACCAGGTGCTGCTGCTGCAGTGGGTGCAGGACAACATCGCCGCGTTCGGAGGAAATCCGGGACTGGTCACCATATTCGGCCACTCGGCGGGAGGGGCGAGCGTCTCGCTCCTGGTACTGAGCCCCCTAGGGAAGGGCCTGTTCCACCGCGCCATCAGTCAGTCGGGCGTGTCGTTCTCCTTGTTTGCGGCCAGTGGTAAGCGCAGGGGATTGGCCGACAAACTAGCCACGCAGTTGGGATGTCTTCAGCCCTACAGCGACGCAATGGTGGACTGCGTTAAACGGACTCCAGCTGCGGTTCTTCTAGAGGCCTGGAAGGCTACCGGCGAACATGACACCATTGGATTCATCCCTCGTGTCGATCAAGAGAGATTCTTACCTCTTCTGCCGGAAGACGCACGGGTTCTTTTATTAAGAGGCAGCTTCACCGTAGTTCCATGGATTTCCGGTATGACCGAACTGGAGGCTGCCACGTTTCTTCCCTTTGGGCTACCTGACGAGGAGTTTGTCGAAGCAATAGCGCAGAAAAATCTAGTCGCATGGAGCAGGTTCCTCCAACTGACCGGCGAGTCCCTGTTCAGGATCCTTGACTGTGGCGCAAACCCGATCGAGGAGACAATCAGGGTTCTCGACTTCTTCATCGGAGACCGTAGGGTCACGGTGGGAGCCCTCGCACGTCTTCTCTCCGATCGACTGATCGTAAACGAGGTTACGGAGGAGATCCGCCTCGCCTCGGTCCATGCGCCCGTCTACAAATACGTGTTCGACCACCGGGGTCCCGGGCGGCCGACACTTTCCAGGACTATGCCTGCGCCCGCCAATCTACCGTTCCCAATCACCGAGCTGGGAGTCGGTCACAATGAGGACATTCTGTATCTGTTCACTGGAGACATAAGGGAGTTCCAGCAGCCCGGCACTCGGGCCTACTTCGTGGTCCGCTTTATGGTCAACCTGTGGGCCAACTTTGCACGCACGGGTAGGCCCAGCTCGGATGTGTTGCCAATGCCCGAGTGGCCTATCTTCACGGAGCGCACCCAGCTACACATGAGGCTCAATTCGCAGCCGGAGATAGGGGCAAAACTGTTTGGGGAACGGGTCAACTTCTGGAAAACGGTGCGCATCAACGAGCAATATAGGCATCTGTTGGACAGGAGACCCTGCTTTTAAGAGCGCTGAGAAGACGGTGGCCAGACACGTAGAAAGAGCACTGTAAATGCAGCCTGGTTTATCCCTTGGCAGTTATCGCGATATCATGCAAATTGCAAATAGATATTTTCGTGAAATTTGAGTGTAACGTTGAATACAAATGACATAACTTATTACTTAGTGATGCTTTTTACGAGCGAGCGAGCGAGTTCATACTGAATTAAGAGAAAATCCTGAGTATGAGCGGCCGGCCGGCCGGCCGGCCGTGGGGACGCTCTTCAAAAGCTAATATCTTAGGAACGGGACATCCGATTGACAAGCGGTCTTCTTTACTGAATGTCACTTGCACGTAAAAGTTCTGTGGTGTGATGGCCACCATGCGTTCTTGCCAACCACCGCACGTGGCGCGTGGTAAAGTTGGACATTTTTTAAGAACCCCCAAAATTGCAACCTCAATAACGGCACAACGGTTGGGCCGATTGAATTGAAACTCGGTACACAGTTAGGTCTCCATCAGATTATTCATCTGCATGGAGACCTTCCAGGCGGTGGGGGGGGCATTTTTTTGCCCCCCTTTAGTTTTTTCGATATATCTCGAGAACCGCTGCGCCGATCGTCACCAAACTTTCAGTACCCTCCCGGGAGCAGCTAGCGCACATGGTGACCAAAAATTTTTCCAAAGGCTATGATAGGTTGGCCGCTAATGACGTCAGAGTGACGTCATTTTTGCCATTTTCGACCCAAAAAAAGGTTTCGCGGGAAGAGCTGTCAGGCCTACAGCTTTAGAGATACAGAAAAATGTGTCAGACATAAAAGGTGTGAAATTAAAAGGGCTACAAAACTGCTATTTCGGTTTTTCGATTTTTTTGGATTTTGACCCCCAAAAATCAAAAAATAGATTTTTTGAATATAATAGCCAAAAAATCCAAAAAGTTTTTTGAATTTCGAAAAAAACGGAACATATGTGATAGCCCCTACCGCCTTCTATCTACATACCAAATTTGAGATCGATACCTCTTTTTTTGGCCAAGTTATAGCGAAAAAACTGTTCAAAATTGATGACGTCAAATTTTCAAACTCAATTTTTAGCAATTCTAGACCTCGTAGCGCAAAACAAAGACCACCATTAGACCCCCCGTGACGAGCTGCATCGAATCGATACCCATTTTATGCAAAAATATCAACTTTGAAATTTGACCTTTTTTGACCTGACCTTGACCTGACCTCCACCAGAAAGTGACCTAAACCGTACCTGGTGGTCTTATAACCAACACCATTGAGTTGGAAATGAAAAACTGCCCATAAAACATGCATCGCATAACCTTAGTAAAGTTGGGCTCATGTGGTGACCCTTGGTGACCTTTGGTGACCTGACCTGTGACCTGACCTGGTATGACCAGTGACCTCTAATAGCAACATATGTACTAGACAACTGACGCCTTATCGCTGATTTTCGACAAAATGCGTTTTACTCGGTGTTATAGCGCTTTCCCTAGAAGCCCCGTGAACGGTGAAACATTTTATCTTTGACCTGACCTGTGACGTCATCGGTGACCCCGAGGTCAATGAAATTTGGTTTCCTCCGACAAATTTGACAGGGCTATCGAACGCCGTTTGAATTTTCCGGATCCGTCCAGTAGTTTCGGAGATACGGGGGGGGCAAAAAAGTGCCCCCCCCCCACCGCGCGGAAGGTGGCTGGTAGGCCCACCGCCTGCCGGGTTAAGGCTGGAGTGCTACAGCACGTGCGAACGTGCAGGGGGCGCTCCCAGATCTCGAGAACGGCTGGGCCGATTGCGCTCAAATTTGGTACACGGTTGGGGACCAGTTAGTAGGGTGCCGTGCAAAAGTCAGTTTGGACCCCGCTTGCACGTGCGCACGTGCAGAATGCCGCTTCCAGATCTCAGGAACGGCTGGGCCGATTGCGTTCAAATTTGGCACACCGCTAGCGACCGGTTAGAAGGGTGCTTTGCACAAGCCCGTTGGAAGTACCCTCTCGCCCTTGCGCACGTGCAGGGCTCACTATCTCGCTCGCTCGTTCTTCGCCCAAAAGGCGTTTTACTGGTTCCTAGTTAATATCGATCCCTCGCCGGACCTATTGGTTTTCTACATACGCCCTGGCCAAGGGGGTGGGGCGGGTACGACCCCTCGCCGTTTCACCCCTTAACTGAGTTAGATCCTCTAGAAAAACGAGCGTATGCACCGTCCCGAGGCGCAGAGACTGGTACCCGATTTTAAGATCTCAGGCCAATTGGGGATCTCTGAGATCAGGTCACGTGCCTCAAGATACGAGTTCGGTTTTTGGTAAATAACTTCGCCAGAAATGGTCGCAGGACCAGCGTAGGACCGCAATTTTAGCACCGTCATGTTCTATATTCTCAGGCACGTCAAATGATGTACTTTTGTTTGGGTGAGGTCAGCTTGAAGGTGGTGACCTCGGGTAAACGTCAGGTCAGAGCCACTCAGGTCACAAAGGAAATCGAATAAGGCCATATCGCTTATCATTCGATTCGGCAGGTCTTCCCAGTCCATTGGTTGTTTTCCCGACTCACTAGCTCAACTTGATCGGGAGTCATCGACAAAAAACTCATATGACCTTAACCCGCGCCCCATTGGGGTCTGCGTATAACACGCCCTACTGGGGGGGGGGGGGCTCTCCATAGCCCCCCCCCCCCATCCTAACTCCGAAACCACTGGGCCGATCGTCAAAATTCAAACGGCGTCTGATAGCCCCGGAAAAACTGTTGAGCGAAACCTAATTTTATTGACCTCGAGGTCACCGATGACGTCACAGGTCAGGTCAAAGTAAAAACTATTAGCATTTTGGCTTGTTCACATTTTGGGCTCTGGCCGCCGTCTTACAAGTCAGATCAGGCTCATTTTTGGTTTACACACTCGTGAACGGATGCTCTAGATACTTTGAGGGTACCAGACTTGTACTTTGATTTTCAGGTCAGGGTCAGGTCATCACAGGTCACGGAAATATTATATCATGCGTCGGTCACGTGACACATGTTTTATGGTCCATTTAGGCCAAAGATTTCGAATTTGATGTCGTCTGTGTCATTTGAGGTCATTTTGAGTCGAATTTGGCTTAGGTCGGTCACTTTCAGGTCAAAAAAGGTCAAACTTTGAACTTAAAATTTTTCAACAAAAAAGGTGTATATTGGATGCAGTTTGAGCTCAGGAACACGATGGTGCTATTTATATTGGTGTACGATGTCAAATACGTACTGAAAATTGATTTGAAAAATTAATAATTGTGAATTTTTTGCAATAATCCGTATAACTTGGCCATTTTTTGAAGATATTTAGCTAAAACTTGCTAGACTTAGTCATAAGCATGCGTTCTGTCACATATATTCCGGTTTTTCGAAATCAAAAACTTTTTGAAAAAAATATAAAAAATATAAATTTTAAATATTATTATATAAAATTTTCAAAATTTTGAAAATCCGAGATAGCAGTTCGATGGCGCAGTCAATTCTTAGTCCTTTCATGCAAAGAAATTGGACCTAGCTTAAAAACTGAGCTCTTGGGAGCGATTGCCGAGGTTCAATGTTTTGCGTCGAAATCGGCCGAACATGACGTCACTCTGACGCCATTTCCAGCCGACCTATGGTAGCTACAAAGTTCAAATTTCGACACATGGTGTTAAATTGATGCAGCCGAAGGTACTGAAAGTTTGGCGTCGATACGTCAAGTGGTTTGGAAGTTATTGCAGAAAAACGGGAGGGGGGCTATGAATAGCCCCCCCCCCCCCAGTGGGGCGCGGTTTGTGACGTCTAAATGACATGACATAAGGCTTAGTGACGTCTTAATGACATGACATAAGGTCATCAGTTTTTCTTCTGATCACGAAAGTAGTCGTAGGAGCCAGGAGTTCATATAACATATTATTCGATTCGCCACGTCTTCCGAATCCATTCGTGGCTTTCCCGACTCACCAGCTCAATCTGATCGGACAATATTGCCGAAAAAAATCCTTTGACCTTAGTGACGTCCTAAATGACGTCAATAAGGACTTGACGGGACGTCATAAGTGACGTCCCGCAAGGCCGACGATGCAAAAGTGAAACATCGCACTTCGCCAGGAGTGCATGGAATCACGATTCCATGTGCTTGTGGTAGTTTCAGATCATTTCTGGCGCCAAATAACAGTCCGTATTTCTCCTGTTGACGTGGTTATGTCACGTGACTGACCTGACCTCATGTGACCCTCAGAAAAAATCCGAGATATACCTACAAGTTGTGAAACCTCTGGGCTCTGGAGGGAGCTGGGTCCTGTGAGTTTCACCCCCTGTGAAATTTCCTCTGGCACTGAGGGCGGTGCGAAGTAACGACGTTTTAGGACCGTGCAGTGGTTCACTTATGGCATCAAAATTCGGTTGGTGTAAATCATACCTGTTCATAGGTGTAGGAACAGGGGGGGACGGGGGGCCAGTGCCCCCCCCCCACTTTTCATAGTGGGGGGGGCCAGTAATGTTAACTGCCCCCCCCCCACTTTTTGCCGAACTTTTTAATGTATGTATTTGTAGGCAAGGGCGGATCTAGGGGAACGTTTTGGGGGGGGTCACCAGTCGGCCGACATGCCAGGTCTGATGAATGAATTCTGACGACCGGGGGGGGGGGGGTAGGGAGCGAGTATGTCGAGATCAAATGACATTTGATCTTCGTCGTTTCTGAGTTGAAGTTTTATCGTAAGTCACTCGGCTCAGTAGTTTTAGTTAGTGAAACCCACCTATAGAGGAGCGTCGCCACGGATTTTTTTACTGGGGGGGGGGGGGGCGGATCGACCGACTTAAAAACCCAGAAGTAGTAGACATAGTTACCTCACTTATGCATTAGTCTAATGCCCAATGCATTAGTAGCATACAGTCACGATCTCTCTTATTGACCTGTGTATGAATCGGCGGCGCGAAGCGCCGCAAAAATTTGAAAAAAGTTGTCAAAACACAGCTCTAAAACACAAATATTACAACCCTTTTAGCATGCTAGTACAAGCCGGAGTTCCTTCACAGTGCACATATGAATTCCGATTCAATTTGACACGGTTGGTGTTATTACAGTCACGATCTCTCTTATTGATTGGTGTATAAATCGGCGGCGCGAAGCGCCGAGAACATTTGCAAAAGAAT